CCACGACGGCGAACTGTTTCTGCAATTTAATCCGGAAAGGCGAAACGCAAGTAAATCGCGCCCGGTTATTTTTTGCGCGCTGTAATTTACTACGTAAAGAGATACCGCGCTAAAGGAGATACATAAAATGGAGTCAGGGACGAAGCGGCGGAGGACGAGGACTGGCGCGGGGCTGGCGGGAGCGCGCGCGTTTTTGCTAAGAAATTAAATTGTGGCCAAATCTCATGTGGGGCTGCGCGCCGAATCGTGCGCGGTGCGCGCATAGAATTTTTTGCACGTCCGGTAAATGCAATAAATCGGCCGAGGGGGAGCAGTCACGTATTTATTTGTATACCGCATGACGAATGCGCGGCATAATTTGAATCCTCGAGCCTCGGCTCGGGTGAAGAGGAGAGTTTTTCGGATGAAATTCTCGGGGAAATTATTTTAGCGTCGCGCGTGTTTTTACGGCAGGGAGGAGAGAGAGAGAGAGAGAGAGAGAGATGCAAACGGAGACAAATTTAACGTCCGGTAATTCTTTTGACGAATTGATCGTGCGACGAGGTTCTCCATTGGATATCGACCGGCGCATGGAATATGCATGATGACCGATTCCGATCGTCGGTGCGTCGGCGATTATTTTACATGTAATTAGTATAAACAACATTTCAGATGCACGCTTTCGGAATTGCACACATGCCAATTTTGGCATATTAACGTTTCCGGCTGGATATAAGTCCATCAAATAGATTGGCATTCGATCTCGCGCGTATAATTCCCATAATCCCACGCTCATCGAAACGAGATTACTTGCAACCAATACATTGCTAGTATTAAGTGTACAAGTGAATAATCCAAACTTTTTTAAGCAGCTAAGAAATTAAGTTTCAAATAATCAAATTGTTCTACTTTCTTCGGTTATGTAGTGTTGACATATAGCTATTAAAAATTACATTTATGTATGGCGGAAGGCTCAACATAACCTAAAAAATTATTCAGTTCAGTACAGTCATAAATGGCAACAGATAAAGGGCATATCTGATACTGCATTCTTTACGAATTCCAATAAGGAAAAAAATGCTACAGGAGCATGCGAATTTATTTATTTTATGTTCCTCTCTCGGCGAAGGTGTTGTATAGTACGATGTGTGTGCATTTTGATTTAGACGGTTTAAAAGCGACGATTTCAGTCTGAGTGACAAAGATAGTCCTGAGGACTCTCGGAAATGAGATAACAATGATTTAGAGTAACTACTCGCTGGCAATTCAGCACAAATGCAAAAAGAGCTTGCAGAACAGTTAGGAGTAATGCAACAAACTATTTCCAAACGCCTACACAAGATGGGGAAGATTCAGAAAGAAGGGAAATGGGTTCTGCATGAACTCACTGAAACCAACAAAAATCAACGAGTAGCAAGGTGTCTTTCTCTTTTCAATAAGCAGCGTAAGAAAATCTTTCTTGTGGAAAATTGTTACGGACGATGAAAAGTGGATACTCTATGACAATCCGAAACGCAGAAAGTCACGGGTAAATCCCGGCGAACCATCAATATTGATCGCAAAGCCAAAACATTTCGGAGAGAAGATTCTACTCTGCATTGGTGGGATATGAAGGGCGTGATTTATGAGCTATTAAAACCGAAAGCTTAATTTAAAGCTATTAATGAGCTATTAAAACCGAATGAAACAATTATTGTAGACCGCTACCGCTACCAATTAATCCGTTTGAGTTAAGAATTAGAACGAAAACGCCCTATAACAAAGAAGAACATCCTGTGAAATTGTTACATGATAGCGCTTGGCCACACATTGGCCGCGTTCAGCAGAAAAAGCTGCTTACTAAGTGCTTAGTGATTATCGTTTCTGATTGGTTCATTCCCCTGGATTTGTTAAAGATCTAAAAGAATACCCTAATCATAGATAATAATCACTAAGAGCTTAGTAAGCAGTTTCTTCTGCTGAACGCGGCCATTGCTTCTACGACAAAAGACATCATAATGAGTCTTGGCTGGGACGTCTTGCAGCACCCTGCGTATTCCAGCAGACATCGCTTTTACCGATTGCCACTTGTTTCGGTCGATGCAACATGCCTTGTCCGACACGCACTTCAAATCAGTGGATGAGATCCAAAAATGGCTTGACGACTTTATCGTGTCCAAAGACACAACATCCTTCCGACATGGAATTCATTAACTACCTGAAAGATGGCTTAAAGTTATAGGAAACAACGGCGAATACTTTGATTGACAAATTTGTTTTACTTTCTTTCAAAATAAACCTTAAATTTAGCTGAAAAATTTGGATTATTCATTTGTACACCTAATAAATTTAGAATTCTCGCGCGCTCACACACGTAAGTTCAATTAAGTGTCTTAACGCACGATGAAATTCCGCGCACGCAGAAATTACGGCCGTGTATCATCCCCCTGGAAGAGATCGCGTAATTTAATCGAGCAGCTCATTGCTGCGATAAACCGAGCGTGTAGGCGCATGCGCGCGCACGATGACGTTCGTTCGAAATTGATATGGCACTTCGCGTGTCTTCCTGGAGATCGCTGTAGTTTTACGCGCCCCCTCGCGCTCATAACGCACGCGTAAAACTGAAGTCGCCCCCCTCGTGGAATTATACACGGCGATCGGAAGGTACGAGCTCGCTCGTGGAAGTTCGTGGAAGTCGTTAGAAATTTTTGTCGTAACGACGCCATTAAGATCGAGTGAACATCGTACGCCTCGACGGCTACGACGAATTCTGTAATGGCGGGTTTATATCGTGACACGGAACGCGCTCATGACCATTCACTCGATATACGATTGCCAGGCATTATTGATAAAACGCACTCGGCTGTACGGTAAAATTCGTCGGTCGTCTGCAAATATATGCTCGACCGGTCGCAATCGCAGCGAAAAATCTCGCCTCGAGACTCGCACCGACGATCGCTTCGCAACGATTATTACAGGCGGAAATGTCACACCGTGTATACCTGCGGTTGGTTTTTCGGTGTTCCCGACGCGTCTCTTGCGGCAGTATACGCGCTCTCTTAATTTTTCATTTGCCGCTTTGCCCTCTCTCAAACGCGGTGAACACACTTAACCGTAGCCGCGCTACCAGCTAATTGAACGATCCTCTAGACGCTCGCCTTCTTCTAAGCGCGTGCTGCTGGAAAATTTTAACTGAAATTTATTAGCGTATTTCGCTTCTCGGTCTAAGTTATCTTATTATACGCTAAAACACCTCTTCTTACACATACAGACGCTAATGTTTGCCAACAACTAGGTTAGACCAGACTTGTCTGTCGTACTTTGTGTGACTTTCGGTAAATATTAATACAATATTACTGGCGACCTCATCGATTTCAATGATCTTAACATATATTGCCAAGGACATGGTTCTGACTAACTGGCAAAGGGTTATAGCCATCGTCCATTGTTTATTAAAAAGTTCTCGGCAAAAGAAGTTTCTTAAATAGATTTATTGCATCCGGAATAGTATGTGTGTATATATTTTCCGGAATAGTATATAGTACATTAGAAAATGTTACAAAACCTAGCCTAACCTAACTTAACCCAATATACATATCTTTGCATATGGTTGGGCGTTGGTTATGGATTTTAAGGAGACCTTTTCAAGAATGCTTATAAGTTGGGTCAGGTTAGATTAGGTCTTTTAATATTTTTTAATGTATACACAGTGCCGGAAAAATGGATTCTGTTCATAAAACTTCTTTTGTTAATAACTTTTTAATAACGACAATAAACAATGTTAATAAACAATGCTTTTCTCGGGAAGAGAATGCAGCGGGAGGAGCTCTGTCGTTTCTCATATTACTAACATTTTTAATGTATACTGTAGCGGAAAAAATATGTATGAAACTTCTTTTGCTCATAATTTTGTAATAAATAATGAGCGACGTCTAACATTTTTTGCAAGTTAGTCAGAGTGCTTGAGAAGATACGTCGAGGTTATTGAAATCGGTAAGGTCGACAATAATAATACATTTACTTGACCTTCACAACGTATTCGTCTTGTCCAGTAGAATTATCCTTTTGGAAAGCAAAATTCTCCCATTAGATCACGAGTACATTCCGAAACTCATATAAAAAAATTACAAGTAACTTTTCTGCCCTCACGAATGTACATTTTTCCGTTCCTCTGTCCAATCGCCGTGTACCTGTCCACTGGCAAGGATTTGCAGCATGTAGAGTTATAGGACAGACTTTTTTCATTCTTATAATAAGTCCGCGGAATCCGACGTCGCGACCAGTCGGCCAACCAGAGAGAAAGAGAGAAAGAGAGAGAGGGAGGGAGGAAAGTAGAGGAAAAACGACGACGAATGAATATTCGACTCGGCGGCTCAAGTCGGATCAAACCGCGAGTGTACTACTGATTATAAAGTGAAGTCTCGCCTCGGCCGCGGACGTGGCGAATCCTTTTCGTGCGCTCCACTTCGATTTTGTCTTTTTCTCATAGTATATATTGTATATATGTTATGTGCCCAGTTACGTTGAGTCGAAATGACGGCGTCGCACCCGTCATATTTCGCGAGCATTTTGAAATGAGATCGTGAAAGCTTTTTGTGGAGCACGGACACTTAGGCAAGAGATTTTCCAAGAATGAAGATGAGAGGCTGGTGTAAAGCGAGTTACTTCGAATAGAGATATAATAACACGAAGGAGAGAACGTTGCGATATAGGTAAAAATTTCCCCATATGGTTGTAAAATATTATATTTCAAAGTGATTGAATGAATGAATAAATAAATGAATGCAATAAAAGTCGACCGACAAGTAATCGTTGTAGTATTGTACGATTCAAAGAAGTAAATACGTACGTTTTCGAAACAAGTCGCTCAGAGAACGACGCAATTGTAGAATTTTCCAGCAAGACGTAATTTCGAAAATAACGCCGATCGATGGCAAAACTCGATTCGATTAGCTCAAAGGGAGAGGAACGTGTAAAGACAACGGGACAAAGTTTCCGCCCCGCCGAGTCCCCGATTGAGAAAGAACTTTGACGCATTTCAGGGTTGGACGAACAACTCGGTGATCGATAGACTGTACAAAAAGAACACGGACCCTACGGCTGTTGCGGACGTGAATAAATTCTACGATGACAGGGCAACGCCAGGTAAATAGCAGAGGTTGCTAGTTGCTGCTCGCAAACGTGTACGACGTTGAATCCCGTTTCCGTGAACGGTCTTTCGCTCTCTCTTCCCCTCTCTCTCTCTCTCTCTCTCTCTCTCTCCGCAGGCATCGCATCGGAAACACAACCGCTGCAGGATCCGAGGAATCTCTACAAGGAGGAGATTCAGGTATACGAGCTAACGGGTGGTGTCGAATTGGTGCCTTTGTTAACCAGCCAGCGCTATCAGTCGCAGCCGCAGACCACGCGCTATCGCGTCACGGACGCCACTCGTCCGGGATACACGATAGAATCGTAAGTACGAGCTCGTGCGCGGAAGTGACGGCGATGGCGGCAGGGTATGTTCGAATATTGGCTCGCTCGTGCAAAATGAATGGGCGCTCGATGAGCGTGACGTTAGCGCGATATAACGCGCTCGTTAGAAAAGCATTTGTTGTCCCGCGGCTGACGATCAAGATTTATACCGGCTTTGTGAGCTCGTGAATATATCAAAAGCCCCGGATTCTCGTGCCCGTTTCGTCCCACCCTGCATTTCGATAATATCAATCGCCGGCGATAGCGGAAGAAGCCGTGCATTTGCGGGATTGGGAAATTCATTTTGTAAAAGTATCTAGTTACAGTTACAGTTTTTTTTTTTCGCTGAAAAAGTAACTAGTTACAGTTACAAGTTACTGTTACAAGTTACTGACCTTCAAAAATAACATGTTACGGTTATAGTTATTTAGAAAGTAACGAGTTACTTTTCAGTCACTTTTTTACAATAATCGTGCTATTATTTTAAATTTCGTAGTTATGTAAATTCCTTAAATAATAAAAGTAGTTTATTGATTATTATATATATTCCTCATGTTGTATATAATTTTTATAAATTAAATTCATTAATTTAAATAAGCAATTCTTATAAGCAAGAATAAGCAATACTTATTCTTTAACCCTTTGAGGCATAGTGGTAAGTATACTTACCACTTGTTTATTCTCACATTTTCATGAAATATTTTATATTTGAGGGATCCTAGTCGGGTTTTTTGCATTTTTTAGCTTCTTATATGATATGGGAACATACATGAAAGGCTGAAAAGTGTTTTGCATAAGTTGTCCATTATAAATAAACAAAGTGTGAAAAATACACATTTTTACAGAAAGAAAACATTTTCCACGAACTATGAGTGAATTTTTTGCTCAAAATCAAGATTTGGGGGTTTTTTGAGTCGCTGATTACGAGTCTGAGGTCCACATTCTAAAATTCATTTTCCAAGATGGCAGATTCCAGATGGCGGATCATAGAATGTACATAAAATTAGCTAAAATTGTACTTTGGTTAGCTTTCAAGGTCGCTGATTACGAATCCGAGATCCAAAACTCATTGTCACAGAAATCATCGCGATTTTTCATATTTATAGGCGTCATGTTGAATCTACCGTCTTGAATTTTGGAAATCTGATAACGGAATCATCATCAGCAACCTCAAAAACCGTCGTGTATAAATTTTCATGTGATTCGGATTTTCTGAAAAATACGTGCTTCAAAGGGTTAAGACTATTAATAGGCAAAGAAATGACCAGTTATTCTCGTTTCCAAGTTTTTGCTGTAACTCTAATATTTCTGCATATGCTGGCCATGGCATTTTACAATCTTTCTGCGAAGATTGAGATATTTTATCTATTGCTTAAATTTTTTATATAACTGAAATCACGTAGCGCACTTCACGCTGAACATAAGTTATGTTAACAAATAAGAACTAGCGACACGGAAATGTCCAATAGGCATACCATTTTTTTGAGGGAATACAGATTGCGTTCGAAGAGGAGACTATTAGCGTTATGTTATTTTATCTTTATTTTACATCTAATAAACGATGAAGATAGATGACGCAATAGTGCGTTTTCCAAATGCAGTCAGAATAACTGTATGCTTATTGGATATTAAGCATCGTATGTCGCGTTATTGTGCTGGTCTGCCAGAAACTTAAGTTTGAAATATATAAAGTAACTATTAAATTATTAATTATTAGTCATCAAACAAATGTAGTTAAACAAACTAAGTTAAATTACAGTTATAGGTGGAAAAAAAGGAACGAAGTTAAGTTATAGTTACCAAAAAAAAAATTGTAACTGTAATTTCGTTACAAGTAACGAGTTACTTTCCAACCCTGTCTATTTCTCTGTGGGTGTCAGTAAATTACGATTAGTATTGACGTGGAAAGAACTCCGGATTTTTCACGCCACGTTTCTTCATACATCTTTCATTTTGTTCCGCGTTCAAATACAATTTTGAACGTTTAAAAAGAATCTGTCCCTTGATATTAATGTATTACAATTATTTATGACAATAATTCGATATATAAGTGATATACGCGTTGCTAGCGGATTATTTCAGCGTGCCCTAACTGTGTCCGCCATATTACGTGAACCTGCAAATGTTGAGGATAACACGTGTCAGGACGATGGAATAATCGATAAACGGCGTGTCGAGTATAAATGCATAACTGGTACTCACATATAATCACGTGCGTTTACTCATTACTATAATTGATATTAAAAGCATTTATTGCTCGCTCAATAATTTCCTCGATGAAAACGTATTATTGATTACTCGTTTAATCAAGAGAGAATTTCCGTTTCATGCCCTCTTGAAAGGAGGGAAAACGCACACATACATGCGCGTGCGTGCATCAAACTATCGCAAACTGCAATTAGTTTTCTTACACCCCTGCAAAAATTGTACACCCTGTATATTACCGTGTACACGTTATACATATTGTGTAACGTCGCCTTATATCGGTCTTCTACTTCATATGTACGTCAGTATACATTTTTATTTGCGCAACATCTTCTTTGTTATTTCTTCATCTTTTTATTTTCTCTCTTTCTGATACTCGAGTTTTTTTTCTGTTTTTCTCGTGGCTCTTTCATTTATTTTATTCCTTTGGAGTTTCGTCGATCTAACGTAAGGGTCTAGCAGCTTCGCGTAAAAAAAAAAAAAAAAAAGAAGAAAGAAAAAGAAGAAAAAATGGCAGACGCGAGACGAGTGTATAATGAAAAGTACGCAATGACGGCGTATATGCAACGCGCGTTTGCGTATTGTCACATAGCGAGTGCGAGGAACGTTCATGATTCTGTAATGTTGTTGTGTTTGTGTACGTGCGGGTGTTTTTTCGCGCTCGCGGCTCGTAAGTATGATATAAACACGACAAGAGACGTGATGCCAACCGTAGAATTGGTTAGCCGGTGATACGACACTCGAGGGATCTAACTACATTATAGGTAATCAACCAATTGACCCGAATGCACTCGACCTCGTCCGTTTCACCTGTCCGTTCCTGCTCAATCTCACCCTTACTTTCCCCCTCGCGCGCTCACGTGCAAACGGTGTTTTAAATATTTGTCGGTATGATTTTTACTTTCCTGTAGAATTCGCGCGAAAATACACGTACTTTTTGCACCCGCGTTTCCATCACGATGAGTTTAAAAAAATAGATGCATATAGATAGATCAAATCAATTTCTCTCCGGGATAGAGTACTCTCTCTCTCTCTCTCTCTCTCTCTCTTTCACGGGCTAATAAGAGATAGAAAGAAAAAGGACACTTACGCTTATTTGAGGAGCTCTTTGCCTTAATTGGGAAATTGATTCGATATCCCGTGAAATTTATAATAGCGAATCGAATTAACGAACGTAATTAACGATGGAAATAGAAATGAATTTTCTAAAACGATCTCACGTCTGAGTCCGCAAAGTACATACAATGCGTCGCATTGCAATTATCAGCAGGGCTTTAAAAGCGGATTCGTGTGGAAGTGACCGTGACTGTAGCTGAGTTTCAAGATCGCGCTTTCGTCGTGAAAGCTAGTCCTCTGCATCGTCCGTCCGACGTACGCAATTAGGGCTCGGACACGCAAAAAAAACTGAAGCAGTAAGGAAATTGGCTAGTCGAAATTGATTATTCTTCCTACGACCCAAAAACATTCAACTGTGATTGGTTAATTTCTTTACTGCTTACGTCTTATACTGCTTGAGTTTCTCTGTGTGTTCCTTTAACTAGTTCACTGGTACGACGGAAATCAATGTTTTGTTTTCATCAGTATTGTTTTCAAAACTGATAAGAACAAATAATATCGTATTTTATATAAAAATTTAACTATAAAGGTTTTGGGTTTTTTTGGGGTTTTTGGTGACAAAGTTAGGGTCGAAATTTCAAAATTCAAAATAATGAATCCAATATGGCAACATCAAGTGGTTAAATTTCAATACGTATTAAATTCGGTATATTTTTTGGTCGCAGATAATGATTGTCATAAGTCCGAGATTTCTACCGGAGCCATTCGACAAAGTAATTTCCTTCAACATATTTTATCCGCTAATAATGCAGGTAAGAGTATTCATGATGGAATACCTTTAGTCGCCAGAAGCCGCCATATTAGATCCGCTAATTTAGACTTTGCAATTTCGATTAAATTCGTCATTAGCAATCTAAAAAATATGAATATCGAATATGACCTTATTTATAATGGAATAACAAAATTAGTCAGTTGGAGCCGCCATATTGGATCTAACATTTTATATTTTGAAATTTCGATCCCGGGTCCGTCACTAGCAATCGGAATAACTCTCGATAAGATTTTACATAAAATGAAGCGGGGATATCAATTTTAATAAATATTCTTCAAAAACTGATAAAATTGTATTGTATTAAAATTGTATTGTATTTATTGTATTTAAGCTCCGTCATATTGGATCCGTCATTATGAATTTTTCATATTTGATTCCGAATTTATATTCAGCGACTCAAAAAAACATAGATGTATCAAGTTTAATGCAAATCCATGCAAATTGGTAGAGCTATTTATGACGTTCATATATGAGTCATTACATGAACTGGTTAAGGTCCGTCTACAAAGGGAGTAATAATATATGTATAAGATGTAAGCAGTAAGAAATTAACCAATCACAGTCGATTGTTATAAGAATAATTATAAGAATTCTTATAAAAATAGTCGACTGTGGTTGGTCACTTTTTCTCTTACTATTTACGTCTTTTACTGCACATTCTTACTCTTGTTGTAAACGAATCTTTAATCTAATATTGGGCGGACGTAACTTTTCCCCGGCGTTGCGTCCAATAGGATACCTGCGATTTATCGCTCGATAACCCTGTATGTAAACGGCCGTAACGGAGGATACGAATAGAAGCGGCGGCAGTCTGACACGTAACAAGACACTTTGATAACGTTTAATAGAATAGTATATGAAAGTTGTGTGTAGGGCGGAGGGGCGTGCACCCGTGTGCACGTCGCGTTGTTCATAACGTGGTCGGCTGAACATGTGCTGTAGCGGCCATAGTAATTAATCACTCTCGATTATCTGTCGCCACGCTGGTGATGACCCCACGGGAGAAAACACGTGTGTTGGTAACCGCCATATAATCCCGGAACATTATTCATCCCGAAAAATAAGCCTTTCTTCGCGATTTTATTTATTTATTTGTTTTTCTCTCCGTTCTTCTCTTTCACTCCTTCCCTCCCTCTTTCTCACTCATCTTCTTTTTGTACATCGATGAAACGGTGAATTCATCGAAGACTGCGAGCGAGTGTAATTTAATTTTACAGTAGTTTAGTTTTAGCGACAAGTTTAGTTATAGAGTAGTTATAGTTACAAGGTAAATAGATTCTTTGAAGCCCTACAACTTTTGTCTGAAACATTTTTCTCTAAAATGTCGCGTTTACGAAAAAATCAGGTGACCCGGATGGTCTGAAACACCCGGTATACAGGATCCGGGATATTTTGGAAAAAAAAAATTGTGAAGATTAATCAGGTCAAACTGAGAACAAAAGTCAAGTACCATTTTGCAAAAATTGCAATAAGTATTAAGTTATTAATGATTGAAATTGACCACACTTAGAAGTTTTTTTAATGAATAACTTGAAAATTTGCATACTTATTTGCAAAATGGATTTTTCTCTTGAATGATCTAATCTACAATCATATGACGGCTACTATGCCTAGCGATAGATATGAATATATTTAACTTTGAACCTTGAATCTTGAACCTCTTGCTAGAGAGAGAAAGAGAGAGAAGGGGAAGGCAATGAGGGGGAGGACAGATCGCTTACTCATCCATTAATTTTAATCACTTCTGCAACATTCACAATACGCACTACGAGTCAGTCGGTAAATGCGCTAAGACGATATCTTCCATGCTAGTTTTTAGATTTTCGCGGCCATTGATACAATTAGAATGTGTTTCTTTCGGATGGATACCGCGTCGTAATTCAGCTTTGTGCCGACGTTTCGCAAACATTGCAGCTTGCGTCATCAGGGCTAGGAGCTCCGATACTGAATCTTCCTGGTTTGTATTTGTCCTTATATATTCTTTCATTCTTCTAAGTGAGAGTTGGGGGAAATGGGGAACGGGGTGGGGGAAATATTTCGATCAATCATATTAATGGACCAACTGATCAATTAAAAAACTGGGAGGGCAGCGTGTCAAATAGGGTTTACCTGAAGACCTTTATCTCGGTTAACATTGTTGGGATGTTTTAGAATTTCCAGACCTTCTCGATGTTTTCTGGCGTAATAATTTTGTGAGGAGGCCAGAATGGTTGTTTTGTTATATTGCACGGTGTCCAGTCTCCATTCAATGTTCAGCCAAGGCAGATTGAGAAAAGTAACTGTACTTGGTACATTGATGGTGTTCTTTGATCCGTGTACTAATCCTTCCTCCTCCCTGTTTCTCCTATATATATTTTTCTACAAGAACAAGGGATCTTATACACACCTGGTGTATCCAAGTGTGGTTTCTGGTCTTTCGGGTTGGGTAATTGTGAGATCTTTTTTAGTGGCTTGAAAATTACTCTGATGTTATGTTTGTTTAGAGTCTTGCCAATACGTTCTGTTATACTTTGAAGATATGGAAGGACAACTCGTTTTGTTCTTTTCTCCTTCTTCCTCTGGTGACTTCATTTTTTTTTCTTTCTTCCTCTGGCTTCTGGGTGTTGTGTGGATCCGAAATTTTGTTCTTCAGTTTATAAGTTATTCGGTTGATGTCTTTGCTCCTATATCCGTCGTCGGTTAAGGCCTGATTGAGGTGTCCTAATTCTTCATCTAGGAAAGCTGTTTCAGAAATTGTTAGGGCCCTGTAGATTAGAGGACTGATGACAGATTTCTTTTGTGCGGGATGGTGATGAGAAGTTGCGTGTAGATATCGGTCAGTATGTGTGGGTTTTCGGTAAACTCGGTGACTTAGTGTGCCATCTTCGTTCCTTCGAACCAATACATTTAGAAAGAGAATTTGTTTATTTTGTTCCACCTCCATTGTAAACGGAATATTGGGATGCTGTGAATTTAGGAAATCGAGAAATTGGGGAATCGTTTTCTCGCCATGGCTCCAAGTTACAAACGTATCATCGATATATCGAAACCATACCGAAGGTTTAAGAGGTGCGTTCTTCCGGACTTCATTCTCGAAGTGTTCCATAAAGATATTGGCAATGATCGGCGGCATTGGAGATCCCATTGCCTCTCCTGATGTTTGTTCGAAGAATTCCCCTTGGAGTTGGAAATAAGTATACGTTAGACAATGTTCTATTAGTAGGAAGAGGTTGGCAGGAAGTTTATCGGATTTCCTAATGATATTTAATGTGTCTTGAATTGGAAATCCAAGGTTTCCCCGGTTTTATAATTAACCAGCTGGTCAATAATGATTGGTCGAAACATTCCCCCCACCCTGTTCCCCATTTCCTCCAATTCCCACTTAGAAGAATGAAAGAGTATATAAGAACAAATACAAACCAAGAAGACTCAATACCGGAGTTCCTAGTCCTGATGATGCAAGCTGCAATGTTTGCGAAACGTCGGCACAAAGCTGAATCACTCCATTCGGCAGAAACATACTCTGACGATATCTTCCATTTTCGGCCAATAGTCTAGTCAGATTTGTTTACTAGTCATCCCTACGCGCGATTCCTTCGACGCTCATAATTTATATTCTAAATTTACCTTTTGCGTTTGCGACGACGGCGATATCAAAGAATTCATTTTGGGGATGGAAGTGGAATCCGACGCGATATACTCGCGGTTATCTCAGATTGCGCTTCATCCCCTTGAACATTTACTCTCGCTATTCCGCGCGCTCTGCCGTGCGTGACGCACGTGGCCCCGTCATTTCCGCGGGGCCGTTGCACGCCTATCAGAGAAAGGATATGAAAGTTGAGTGACATATGAGCGCCTCTCCCTTTCTTTTATAGGTTTCGCGCCCTCGGCGTCGACAATCAGGGATACATCGCGGAGCTCGCCGAGCAGATACGACGTAAACGGAACAGGGCGTTGGTAAGTGCAGTATGATCGATGACGATTGCATAACGTCGGACGGTAATTTGAAACCGGGATTAATTGTACCGATCTCTCGCCAATTTCGCCGTCGTTTAGTTGCCTGTTATTGAATCGAATTGACTATGCGGCCGCGGACGTGGACGATGAAATCGAACTTCCGCATTGACCATGCGAAAGAGGAAGAGAAAGAGAGGGAAGGTGAGAGAGGGAGAAAGAAAGGGCAAATTCGTTATGTAGTTAAAGAGCGCGAAGAGAAATCCCGTCGAAACAAAGTCATCGTGCGACTGTTATTTTATTTCTCACAAGGAAAATTAGGTAATTCGGAAATTCAAAAAATTCTGAAACATTTCGTACAAGTAAAGCAGTTCATTCGTAACACAAAATTATTTTTTATTTATGCTATATTATAGTTTGAAAGGGTGAAATCATTCCTTGAAAAAATGTAATATTTCTTAGCGGAATAATCACCGAACGGTGAAAAATATTGAAGAAGGGTTCAAACAAAAGTTGCATCTCTTTTTTATGTTTATAAAGCTGCTGGATAAGTATCGAAAAATTTATGTTTTCTGAATGACTCCCATTCAACTTTAAAAATTAAGTTTTTGTATTGTAAATTTAGGCAAAGATACTTCTCCATAACTTTTTTTTATATATCATAATCAATTTATTTGTTCTATTTAAAAAAAACTTATCGAGTTTTTCAATTCCGCTTTAGCAGTTTTAATTATTAAAATAGTTTTATATAGCGATATATTTGAATTATTATTGATGTAAATTTTAAACAACTTCTTAGACATACAAGGTGTAACATCAACATATAAGTCAGATGATGGATTTCCTATCCTCATTCGGACGATAATGCAGAGGTCGCCGAAAAAATCATTCGCTGATCTCGTCGATAATGATATTTGCAATGCTCCCAGTTATGATGAGTGCAACTAATTTGCACTGCAATCGTTTATGATAGCAGCCGAGCCTTATTAAGTAAAAAAGAAAATATTTAAAAAAGCGAAACTGAGAAATAAACATTACAAATTTAAGCAGAGTAAATAAAAGTAGCAGTTAAGGGGATAAATAATGCAACATATTTTCTTCTTTCGCGTAATTCCTTAATTTTTTCCTTACATTGAAAAGTTTAGTTGGAATTGGAGATTAGAGAAAATGGTACAGGAATATTTAGAAGTCTTGTATACTGTCTTTCAATGTTTTTGGAATAGATCGCTTCTATAAAATGTGAATCGGTCGGAAACGCAACATAAATTATTGGCCGCAACTTAATCGATAATAACTATTAAGCGACATATTTTCGATACGTAATCTTGTATTTTAACATCTCTTTTATCAAAAATAGCATTTGTTTTTCGAAGTGTTTGTAGTTTATAAGCAAATCAGAAGACTCATAAACCATCTTTTTCCGATAAAAAGACTTCAGAATATGAACATTCTATACTCTAATAAAGAGTTTTCAATGAGGCTTGGATCCATAAATTATTTTGATACAAAATTAGTTGCACTCATCATAACTGGGAGCATTGCAAATATTATTATCGACGAGATCAACGAGTGACTTTTTCGGCAACCCCTGTATTATCGTCCAAATAGGAGCAGGCAACCCGTCGTACTGACCTATATATTGATGTTACACCCTATATATGAGTTATAATAACAGCAACATACATACATTATATTTGAGGTATTATTTTACTAGACAAACTGCACGATAAATAGATATAGCGTGGAATTCTACTTTAACATATTAAATGACGCAGAGTCATATTGATGCGTCAATCACCTTTTTTTCGAATTGAAACCTCGAATTTTTCGATTTACATAATATATTTATGTTAAAAAAAATAGTTTTGTGTTACAAATAAATTACTTTACCTGCTCGCAATGTTTCGGATTCTTCTGAATTTCCGGGTTGCCTAACCTCTCTTGTCAGCACGGCGGGGAAAAAAAAACTGGAGAAGTTACTTCTCAATTTGACAATACATGATTCTCGTTTCGCGCTCGTTTGCTCGATCACGCTTAAGGTACCGCGCTACTTTTGATACGGAATATTTTTCTTCCATTCGGCTTTATCTAACGTTAGGGGAGAAGGAGGGAGAAAAGAGAGAAAAAATCGTCTCGTATTTTGCTATCGTTTCAGGAGGAACGACGGATCGAACAGGAGAGTTGTCGCAGACACTTCGATACTTGGAAAAAGCTATGGGGTAGACCGGGCCATGGCGCCCCCATAGATCACGTGCAACGGAACAATCTCTACAACATCCTCCACCGCCCGGCTATCTATTGAATTTTCCCCGTAAAGCATTTCGCTCGTGAGGAAGCGTACGAGCAAAGGGGACCTCGTTTCTGTAATGCTTTTTATTTTACGGAACGAATAAAGAGAAAGAGGACTATTAGATGTCGATGATGCGACGTGCGGCGATCGATAGGATCGTCCTCGGAAGGTCGAGCTTAGCGCACAAAATGTTTCCCTCTCTGAATTTTTTATTTCTTTCTTTTTTTTTACTTGTTTCAGGGCAGTCGCGCGTAATAACAATATTATTGTCGTTTGCTCGCTTATTTTTAAAATGATTTAAAGTGTGCAGGCGTTGCGATGTTTGAATAAAATAGGGAGATACAAATCGATGCGATTCGTTCGTTTTAGTGAGATATACTGATAAACGAAAAAATATAAATTATACCGCCTTAAAATATAACGCGCTTATCGGTGATATATTATGAAACGCGAGATAACGTTTTTAAACGTTGAACGAAAAAATGCAATGGCGCTTGGGGGTTAAGCATTTTTACGTAATTAGAAGCGTGTACTTTTACGTTTTCCAATATTGATGATGATCGGTAAATAATTAAATATGCTACTTGACGTGCGAATACGGATAAAATTAAAGCTCGTAAACAAAAGGAAAAGTAGTGAAAAATCGTAGGGGGTATAGTGAAAAATTAGGGCAAAAATGTGCTAGCGTTGGCATTCTTCTCTTTCTTATAAACCGACTTGACATGCAAAAGCGACGAGTATATTGGATAACCTATTAAATTTTATGAAAGCCTTCCGAAAAAGAGGGAGTGGGAGAGATAGAGGAAGATAGCGGAAGGGAAACTTGATAAACCAGGACCATGAGTGACGCCACGATTGACCAGACCTCAAAGAAGCAATCTCGTGAGAACCTAGTTGCTGCATGGGTCGATATGTTTTAAATTTCATGAACGTCAAGGAATGATTATTTGAATATATGTATGGATAAAGGTAACGCGCGCAGCACTGTCAAGAGGAACGTTCCTCAACGGTTATCGCGTTGTTAAAATTTAAGCACGCTGTTGCTCCACTCACCTTACTTCGTCTGTCCGGATGAGATTCGCGCGCGATTTGCAAGATATTGATTTTAGTGAGTTTCCCCGAGAGAAATTGCGCTCACTTACTTGTGCGTTTTGGTATATTTCTGGAGGGCTCTGTGCAATTAATCTTACAGCGGGCGTACGATTTGCATTTTTACAAACAGTATCTACAAGATATGTGTATGTGTGTGTGTGTGTGTGTGTGTGTGTGTCTATGATATATACAAGGTGTTCAAAGAAAGAGGTTCAGGACTTTAAGGATAGATAGCAGTCACAAAATGGAGGGAAACGTCCTAATAAACATGGGTTGAAAAATTAATATTGTCGGAGTTATGAACAATTATTTATATTTCAATTAAAGCAAGTGACTTACTCGCTTCTGATGCTTAGAAAGTTTACCGATCTTCTGCATATCCTCCTCCTATTTCTACATCGTCATACCATAGAATTGCGAACTCCTTCAAAAATTTCCGGCTTTGTTCTAACTATTCGACAGGCATTTTGTATTCTCCAATATAATTCGTCTATGTCATTTATCGATAAAGAGTGTACCATGTTCTTAAGAAATCCCTATAGAAAAAGTAGGATATTTAAGTCAGGAGAGCGAAAGGGTCATGAGACTGGGTCACTCTGTCTAATCGATTTTTCACCAGACGAATAATCTTAGAGTATGCAAAATGCCTATTATCAAGTAGTTAAAACAAAGCCGGAAATTTTTGAGTCCGCAATCTTGTGGTACAAAAATGTGAAGTATGCGTAAAAATACAAGGAGGACATGTAGAAAGTCTTCTATAAACTTTGTGAGCACCAGAAGCGAGTAAGTCATTGGTTTTAATTAAAGTAAGTAATTGTTCACAACTTCGACGATATTAATTTTCCGACTGATGTTTATTAGAACTTCTTTCCTCCATTTTGCCGAGTACCACCTATCCTTAAAATCTCGAATCTTTTTTTTTTAACATTCTGTACATACACATATATGTATACATATAAATAGAGAGCGCTCTTGGCAGAGTTAACGACGGACATGTCATCGAACATGAAGAGAGGTTATCCGAAGAGAGATTATCCGTCGAGTTAGCCGAAATAAATTTCCCTCGCCATCGGCAGGAAGCGACTGATTCTCTCTCTCTCTCTCTCTCTCTCTCTCTCTCTCTTCCATCAAGTGAAATCTATGTTCCCCAATTTGGGCGCAAATAGTTCCGCGACTCACGGGGATCGCTCGTACGCTCATGAATTATAAATTGCCAGGCCGCGCGACGTTCGCACGTTCGCGTTCTCGTGCCCGCATTCGCTTCTATCAACCGATTTGCGTAATACGTTAATTAGACATTAAACGCTCGGTAACCAGGCACTAACCCGGAAGGGTAACAGCACTATCTTTAATGGATGTGGGTTATTTAATTTGCTCGGCTGTTTGGCGGCACGGCGCGGCGCGGCGCGGCGCGGCGCGGCGGCGGTTTGTACGCGGAAAGGCGCACCTTCATCCTGTTTCCGTCTGGAGAGCGCAGTTTCAGCCCTCCATCCTTCCTCGCTCGCCCCGGCGGCCCCGTTCGCCCTCTTCGTCACCACCACCTAGCCGAGCCCACCACCTAGCCGGAAGGTGGAGAGAGCGATCCACGAAATCTCTCCTGCCTTCGTCGTGTGCATCCCCCGAGCACTCGTCTACCTCCGCGTCCGGCCCGCCATCCCACCCCGTTCTAGCCCCTTCCTAGCTAGCTACCAGCTACCAGCGCGCTTTTGCTATTGTCTGACTATTGTGCCGCTGTTACCGCGGTGTGTCGGTCCGTTTGTATAAGGGTGATTCATTTTCTGGGAAATATCAGTTCCTGCGCCGCATGAATTTCGACTCACGCGAGCGCGTAAAACCGCGCGCGTTGTGCGCGCTTTCCCCTTCTCCCCCTCCCCTTCTCACTCTCTCTCACTCTCTCTCTTTCTCTCTCTCTCTCTCTCTCTCTCTCTTTTGGCCTCTCGTTCATCTCGCGTCCCCTCGTCACGCCGTTCGTCGTCGGGCGCGAATTAAGCCTCCCGCGGACTCTAGGCAAGCATAAATGCATATTCACTCGGCGGAGACGCTATTTCGTTCGGACTCGGTGCTTTATCTTCGAGCAAACATATTTTCACGGGAGTAATTTTGCAAATTGAAATCGCGCCCGCGCGGTTGGTGCTTCGCCCGGCGACCCGCGACTTAGCATTTTTCCTCCCTTGGTGCCCCTTGGGCCGCTTCTCGATGGCGCGGCCTCGGGAATTCGTTTCGATGAATCGAACTGCGCGGCGCCGAAAATTTGACCGCACTCGACTCGGCGTGACGAGCACGCACGCGCACATGCACGCGATATTTTCCCTCACATTTAACATATAAATATAAATAACCGGCGGGGCAGAGGCATGCTCTCTCATAAACGCGTTCCTCTGACTCTCGCGGAACCCAGGGGAGATTCGCCTGCTGCAGCTCGGCGATAAAACGGCCCGCCTCCTCCATCTCCATTTTCCCTGCCCTGTTCCTGTTTGTTTGCGTCTCGTTCGCGCACGCCGACGCTCCGTTGGCGGAGTGCATTGTTACGAAATTGGGTCATCCGCTTACTGCAATGAGATACGCGGCTCGTCCCGGTGTCTCGCGCCATGAAAATTGGTCGCGTAGAGCGGCTCTCTTCTCCCTTCCCTCCTCCTCTTCCGTCGGGGAAAGAAGGTCGTTCGAGTTACGAGGGAAGTGGTGGCAGAGGGGGCAGAGAGAGAGAGAGAGAGAGAGAGAGGGAGAGAGAGGGAGAGAGAGAGAGAGAGAAACCGGCATAATTCCGCGGAACTCCTAGGTTCTGGAGAAAGTTCTGGTTAGAGGTGTTTCTTCCGCTTTAGTGCGCCGAAATGATAAACGACAAGTGACGAATAGTCTCGTAACTGTAATCATTTAAAAGTACCGTTAGTCAAGCACGTTCCCCGCGTAACGCTCGCCAATGAATATGGCCGGCGAGCGAAGGTGCACTCACGGCGCGAGCGGAAAGTATTTTTAGAAGCTTGAAACGCCTCGAAGCCGCAGATTTTTAGCGGAATCTGTATTAACGTGAGAGAAATATCTCTCCCGTATCGAGAAACGGAAGACGTTTACGTGACGTAAGCGTGATCCTAGATCCTGGTTATCCGATCGATCGCGATTGTCGTTACGCGGCGCTGCCATCGCGACGGTCGATCGGATAATACGCAAAAGTACGATTCGTCGCGCTATGTCGCGGCGCACTCCTTTATCCGAGCGGAAACTATATTTTATATAAACGAGATTTCCCCAACACACGCGCACGCGGAACGTAGATCCAGGCGAAAAAAACGTCACCTACACAGGGAGGGATGATTAATGAACCGACCGTAATAAGCACTTTAGCCGTGCTTAATTAGAAATCGCGTAATTTATTCGACTAACGCGCGGAATGCGAATCGAGCCGAGCCGAGCCGAGTCGGGCCGAGCTCTGTCCTTTCACCACCGCCTGCCTCCATACTTTTACAGCTACGCCCATATTTTCACATGCTAATTCGTCGTCCCCCTCGCGCGCGATTCAACTTTTGCCGCGACACTCCATTCCAAAGCGGTCCACGCGGTACTTTCTCTCGCGCGTCTAAGAATCATCAGCTGCAAAGCGCTTGGGATGACGAACGATTCAGAATTCAATTGCGAGGATCTTCGTGTCGACTCAGGGCTCGTATTCTTGAAAAACGTCGCATACGATATTACACGAATGTTACCAGATATCACGATTTTCAGCCAATTAAATTGCCTCCATTGATGAAATATCGTATACGATATTTTTTGCAAAGTTTCGAAAATAAGGGCCCAAGGTTTCTATTCTAGACGCGTATGCGAAAGTTAGGTGTACGCTATTTTAAGTAATTATTTAGGTTATGTTCCGAAATAGTGCTGACAGTATTGGCAATATTGCTACTGAAACCAGCGTATTGGCCGTTCTAAAATCGTCGAAATGGTCAATTTCTCGGAAAACCGAACACATTTGCAATATCGTAAATAGCAAAGTGGTATTACAACCCGTAAAGATTGAAGGTAAATTTTGAAAAATGGCCAACATAACACCAATTCTACTTGGTGCAAGTATCGATGCAAATTTTATTGAAGATCATTTTCAAAATGTACCACCAGGCGACGAAGAAAACTATTTTATGTATTTTATATGTTTTATTTCCAC